TCCTCTGTCTCGTTATCTTGAATATACAGTCTAAAATGTCTCTCCTGTCACTTTCACTTCCATTGTCTCTCTGTTTTCTTTCCACCGCTCTCATTCCCTGCTTTGTCTCATCGATTCATCTGTATCTGTATGTTTTGCTATGTGTCTTTTCCCACTTCTAATTGACCTGTGAACCCCCTCCTGTCTCACTCTTTCAGTTGTAACCTCTTGTCTCTCTATTTTCTCGCTGTCTTCTATATTTACTCCTAATGCGGATGGACATGAGCCTCGCTACACCAATCCTTGCAGTTGGCACTAATTGGTCTAATGAGAGCACCAACATTACTGGTCAGTCACAGTACTAAACAATAAATTATGCATTAAAGTGATATATTACATTATTATAACTAGTTTTGCTATTATTCTCAGTCTCTTTTTTTTTTTTACTTCTGTGGTCACACTGCAAACAACACAAATTTAAATACAATTTTGATGTTTACATACACTTCCTAGTGAAACCCACTGCCCTAAATTAAAAAAAAGAATTGTATCATTGTATTTTTTTTAACCTTCTGTTGTGTATGTTTATACAAGATAGCTTTTATGCCACCGCTTGTGCATTTTTACATTGCTATGTTACCTTGCAGAAAGACTTCCAAAACAATGTGTTGCTTTTGTGTGCCAGTGGTCTTACAGCTCTGGCTGTGTCCCCTGAAGATCCCTTGTGTATCCTTGTGTTTCACGTTCCCTGTGTTCCCAGTGGTCCCCTGTGTCTCTCTCTCTCTCCCTCCCTCTCTCTCTCGCTCTCTCATCTTGTGATCCTTGCTCCCGCCTCTGCTCATCATATCCTCACCTGTCTGCAATCAGCTCATCAAGCTCACCTGTCCCTCATCAGTTCTTTAACCTGCATTTGAGACCTTTTCATTGCCATGTTGTTGTGAGGGCAAGAGCTTTGGTCCAAATTTACTTCCTGTCAGCCGCTGCAAACAGGAAATACAGGTAGAATGTTTATGTTGTGAAGTTGGAAAAGGTCTGCATCACTAAATACATATATATATATACTGTATATACACCTGACTGACTCCCTGCTTGCCTGCAGTAACCACCAAGCTTCCAACCTACCTCTGCTCACCATGCAGACCGGTCTTCATCCGCAAAACAAAAACTCTCATCTTACCACCACCACTGTCTGTGTCCTGTGTTTGGATCCGACCTGAGTCCGTAACAAGTGGAAGCGCTGCAATTAACAGGCAGCATTTCAAACTTTAAAACCCCCAAAACTGTCACACTCCCAGGCTCATATTCATGCTCAAACTATCATTCAGCATCATATAGGGGACGACTTGTGAGTTTGTCTGTGACGACCCTCCTCCTGTCATACACTAGGTGCCGGTTTTTCCATCTGTTGCAGGTGCTGAGTGGACGGTCGTTACCAGGATGAGTCTCACCTGTGCCGGGGCGTGGCTCCTCCTTAAATACCTTTCCAGTTGGCAGCCCTGGGGAAAGGAAGACCTGTGCTGACGGGCTCGCGCCGCGGTTGCTGACTTTGTGTTTTTGGCATTATAAATAAAAGACTACTTTTGGCGCCAGCTCATTGTCTCCCAGTTTTTGTCTCAGTCTACGAGCCGGGCTGTGACACTCTTTTTGATGAAAACAGCCGTTATTTCCATTTTGTCAACTCATCTGGCAGGTAGGAAATAATGCATGACGTCTGGGCCAAATTGAATGAGAGCTATCAGCACCTCAGGAGACGGTGGGAACAGATTCATTAAACAATACGGATCGCTGCCCCTCAAGAGAAAAAGACACATTTCTTCACTGAAGACGTTGCACGGCAAAAATGTCATTTTGGAATGTACAATCTAAAGAAATGTCCAACTGTGTGACTGGGAACTGTGTTGCCGTGGTGATACATTCCACTTCCCAAAACAAGAGGTCATGTCCCACAGGGTGATGTCACTGAAGACTTTGTTATCCCTCCAGTGGCCCCTCACTGTATGTGTGTCAGTGCTGCTCCAACAACTCTGCTAAAAAACTACAGGCATTTCTAAAATTCTTTTGATTCAAACTCAAGAGAACAAACCTCTACTCCTCCTCCTTCAAACAGGAGTAGAGGTTTGTGCTCTTGATTCCTGGCCAACAAGAAGTGGTATCAGGCACATGTAGCCATGGCTAACAGTCCTGACGTATAGATGAAAGGCCTGCAGATTGACAAAAAGCTGGAAGAGACTCCTCGGATGTAAAATAAGAATCTACAGCCACATACCATTTCTGTGACTCTGTGCAGCAGTGCTTTGAGCAACATGCTAACATCAACAATAGACCTGCGTAGTATCAGCTTGCTAGCATTGTGAGTATGTTATGCTGACATTGGCATTTAGCTTAAAGCCCTGCTGAGTGTAAGCACAGCCTCAGAGCCGATATGGCAGCAGACTCCACGTCTTATTCCGGTTTTAAAGCTGGGTGTCCCGAGTCCCAACAAACATCTGTAAAGTACTCAAACATTTACTACTAAATCGTACCGCTTTACATAGTGAAAAGAACAATTACATTATAATAGAAATACGAATACAAATAATAATATTAATAATAATATGATTGTTGTCAGCGCTTACTTAAACGTTTATCATGTTCCCTGTTGGGTGATAACAGGGTTAGGTCTTTTGTCTATCAGTCAGTCAATGTGTCGGTGTCAAGGCTATTGCTATGACGCTTGAAGCTCTTTCTGTCAGTCGGGCGTTGAGCCTGCACTTGTGCACACAGACAAATACCTTGTGTTTAGATTTAAAAGGTATCGGACAATCAGTATACATGGTATATTACACCAATGCAATCCTTGTGTTTACTGGTGTTATTATACAGTTTTCAAAATGAACTTTGTTTTGGTGGATTTTGGGAGACAAAACATGATTTTTTTTGTCTGCTGAGGTGTTGTCCGTGTGTTGAGAGGTGTGCTTGGTAGTAGTAATTGTCCCCCATCCTGATAAATCCTGTGGAACATGTATATGTGCGTGCATTAACATGTACTTAAGGGTCCCACAGTGGGATCACAGAGTGGGACAACAGTTGAATCATTCACTGCCTCTGTCTTTCTAATTAAACCTATAAATCAAACCCGATTCTGCATCTCTTAGCCTGTTTCTCACTTACCTGCCACATCAACATCCTTCTTTCTTTTTTCTTTTCCTCTGATCTTTCTCTACCTTATGTCAGCTGAAGCAAAGAGAGGAGGAGCGTGAAAGAGAGAGAAACTTCTTGTTTTCTTTTCAAGGTCTTTTTCAGTCCCACTGATCTCTCTACCAAGAGAGCCACAATTCAGGCTTTTTTCTTTGAAAACACTTCAATCAGACTATTGCATAACGTATGCAACATGAGAAGAAGGAAATGTGTGATATACTGTCAACATGTTTATTTACTTGAGAACAGGAGACAATTCATTAAATGTCCCCAACTAGATTCAACCACACAAATGTTCTGAACCAGCTGATCTATCAGGTGTAACTAATATCCAACATAAGTCTTTTAAAAGACAAAACCAGTAATCCAATAGAAGAACCACCAAGATTACAAAAAGACCACACTGAAATCTGCAATAGCTATAATAAATAGTAAACATGATAATATGACAAAACAATTACAACAATGCACTTAATCTCTCTGTCTTAATCGCCTCAGATGCTGGTATTTTTGCATTTTGGATGACAGTATTTTAGTTGATCGAGGTGGGTGAATGCGGTTTTATATGATGAAAAACCTTCTCATTCATATGATTTAGTATTTTGCAGTTGTTTTTATCTCACAACGGTAAGGTAAGATAACTTTCTCAAAGGGACAAAGTAGTGTGCGTGCTCATCCGAATATCAGGCACCAGCACACTGAACCTTTTTATTGGGTACAGCTTTATGATGTTGTGCCATTATGTCTTCATCAGTATTGTGGCACATATGAGTAACTAATGTACCTACTGAATGGTAATAAGGCGTCTCGGACAAACAGAACCTTCCATAAGGTCTAATGTTGTGTCCTTATTCAATCCCAGAGGAGACTGAGTAGCCTGTATAAAGGTCTGTATTTGATGCTTTCCCATGCTCAGTATCTTGTTAAGAAATTGTGCTGAAACGTCTGAACTGTACTTAATACATTTTTTTGGGAGCATTAACACTTTTCTCATAAACTTGACTTTTCATGCTATCTGGCCTAAATATGATTGATCTGTTATAACAGATGAGGACGAGTGGCATAAATTGCACTTGTATATATGCATTTATGTATGTGATTGATGTGTATCTTATGGTACCTGTAGCACATTTAAAATGTTGTTTCTTGACTTGATCTGCTATTGTAGTTGTACTTTGTATGATGCATGAAAATGAAACCAAACCAAACTTGTTTGAGCTGCATTCACTCCATCCCTGTTCATCACTACACATGTGTGTGTGTGTGTGCGTGTGTGTGTGTGTGTGTGTGTGTGTGTGTGTGTGTGTGTGTGTGTGTTGTAGGCCAATAGTCACTCAGTTACACAACCGCTTTCAGTTTCCGAGCCCTGCCTGCCTGCCTGGTGGCTCCCCGCCCACCGCTGCTCTCTCTGCTGCCTGCTTGCTTGCCTGCCTACCCGACTGCCTGGCTGCTGGGCGGACTGGGGCAGATCCGAGCCGACCAGTTCCGCGTTCTCTCCTCACCCAGTGCACGGACCGGAGTGAACAGGAGAACCGGGCAGTGTCATGGTGGACATTCCTGCCCAGCCGCGGCATCCATAACTCCGGGGGCAGAGGGAAAGTGTGGACGGAGGTGAGGAATGTGTTATTATTTCTTATTATTTCTGCGCGGATGGCGAATTCATCAGTCGACGTCGGTCGCGATACGTTACAGCCAAACTTTGACGCTGCTGGCTGGACCTCCTCTCTCTTTCTCTCTCTCCACCCCTCCCTCCCTCCCCCTCTCGCTCTCTCTCTCTCTCTCTCCCCTGAAACGCAAAGTGCGTCGCCGTGCACACTCACATGCGGGATTACGGTATGTTCACGCAAACGGCGAATAACCCGCGTACAGTGCGCTTCCCGTTGGTGTCGTTAAAAGGCCGTGGAACGAAGCTTTGCAACTTTTACTGTCGATACGTGCTGCGTGCGCGCGTGTCTACGTGTGTGCTCGAGTGTGTAGATAGATGGGTAGAGCTGCGACACGCGCGTATGCTTGCGCGCGTTTGAACGTGTTGGCTATAATGTATCGGCGTATGTCACTGTAATGTGCGTGTGTCGTCCATTGATGTTGTTTTGACACAGGTGACGTAGACCGTGACGCGCCTCAACGATGAGATAAGCAGATCCGCTGCGTGTGAATAAATAGCACGCCTGTGCGCGCGCCACTGTGCCTCATTGACGGATACTGGGGGGGGTTTCAGAGCTGCGCATTTGAGATTTTTCTAGCAAAAAGCGACACACGCTAAAAAAGACGCAAGCGTCTGGAGTCGAATACACAACATGTCCTCTGTGTGTAGTTTGTTTCTTCAGTGAGTAAGCTGCCTGGAGCCAGCTCTGCATGTGTTCAACACTGTTTACACACCTGACGTAGACGTATGTGTGACGTCGTTTTGAAATGATGGAAGTATGAGAATATAGTAGACCCCAAATTAAAGTAGTTCTGGGAATATTACTGTTGGGACCTATTATGTTTGCAGCATACATCAGGTGGATTCAAAATGAGCTACAATTTACAACAAACTAATGCCACAAATGAACACCTACATCAACATTTGCTTTTATTAATTTGAGATGATTAGTCAAATTACAATAAATTGAACAAATAAAAAACAAATGTAACGTTTTATATCAAATCTGACAGTGAGTTATGACTATGACTTAGATATTGACAATGATAACTTTGGCTAAGTAAGTCAATTATGTAGCCATGCAGTTCTGTTGCCTCATCTCAATACACAGAGCTGTGCAAGAAATATCTGTTTGCCTGTTTTGACAGATTTAGATTTATTTAATTTTGATTCAATGGATTAAGGGACAGGTGAGGTTGTTTTTCTTGTGGTTGCTGGAATTTTAAAAATATTTCTTCACTTAAAAAAAAAAGGTTTGGCACATTTAGCTATCCCATAATTGTCGAACACTCTGAGTATTTAAAGTCTTGGTAGAGTTTAAGCAGTTACCAGAATTGAGTTTATCGGAAATATCTAAAGAAGGTGCAAAGTTTGGCACAATGTTTCAATTTCAAGTGCATATTTTCCAAACATATAAATTGACAATATAAAACAGACTCATTGCATATATAGTCAAAATACTACTTTGTATCCTAGACTAAGTAATTACGTAATTAGACGTACAATTTAAAAAGTATCTTGAACATGTGACTTAATTCACGTTAAGAAATTCTCTAGTACGGAGAATATGTTATCTCATTTTGAAATATAACAGTAACGTATAACATAAGACTTATTGACTTTATTGCTTGGTCTCTTCATGTTGTGCACATATCTGAAGAAAGTTGTCAAAGAAGCAGACAGCACACATGGGCAGGTATATTGTTTATGTCACCATAATGTTCTATGGTATTTAGAGCAGCTATTTGAGCCCTATACATACAGTATTCACGCAGGAGCTACAGTATCACAAACTTTATTTTGATAGTATTCCTACAGTAACGTATAGTTTGTCTGTGATAAGCAGTGGTGAGTTGTTCCTGCTTCATTGTGTTGACTTCTGGCACAATCATATGTTGTGGTATCCCCCTACCATTAATACAAAAAAGAGGTAAACCCACCAAAACTCATTTTGCATATTGGTTGCATTCATAGTAAAAATGGAGTAAGAAGAGCCAAACTGGTGTTGGATAAAGTCAATAAATACAACCTGCCTGCCAAACTGTTTATTCTGTAACTGTTATTATAATAATCTGCATGATGGTTAGTATTTGATATTACCAGGTAATGATAGACTGCTGTGTGTTTCGAAAGGAAATGAATGAGACCTGAGAACAGTGACTAATCCCACATCCAGAAACATTTACCGGCTTGCTTGCTTCATTTGCTGTAATAGCAGCGCTGACACCATACCATCTGAACGAAAGGCTTTGCACAGTAGAAAGGACATTTCTGAATGGAATTGCCGCCACGGCTATGAAGCTTAATATTATATATTAATATATTTGAAGTCGGGCAACCAAAATTCATTCAAATCCATCAAAATGGGGATGGAGTTGATCCAAGTTGGAGACTTTAGCTATTCATAGTAATGGTAATCCAGAGACGGATGCATGCAGGTCAGAACTGCAACAACCCTGTGAATGTTCATTTCATTGTTAGTTAATGATGAATACATTAATTACACAACAAAACAAGTAGGAGAGAACAAACCAAAAAGCAGGGGAAAGAATAAAGATGCACAAGCATTACAGTACAATGATGATTGTGTACAACCTACAGCTATATACTGTATAGATATAGAAAAATAGTCTGAAAAACCTGCAAGTTATAGTCTTAGAACCATAAACCACAGCATTAAAGGGTCATAATAATAGACCCTAACCCTAAATACTTAAACCTGCATTCATGTTTGACCGACATGTAACTTCCTGTGGTGAGCCAGGAGTTATTCCATCTTTTGAGGAGATAATCCTCATGACTCAGTTAGTCAGTAAGGTGTCTAGATTTAATCACTGCCCTTTAAACTGACTGTGAGCCAGCTCACTGACTGAGATTGTCATATGGAGCTCTTCTGGTTGTTGATAATATTCCTGGTGTTGAAGGCAGTATTACATGTCAGAGAGTCATTCCCAAAAATCAATGTAAAGATATAGTTATATTAAATTTTGTCTTTGTTATTCAGTTATAAGGGACTCTATAGACATTTCAAAATGTTCCCTTTGAATGTGTTTTATTGTGTCTTAAGTTGTGCATATCTCTGTAAATATCTTCATGAATATATCTTTCTATTCCAGTTTTTTTATCTGTACTCTGCACACAGCACACTTCCTTATGTTTGTTTCTTTTGTCTTTAGGTAATTTGAGTTTGAGGTTAAAAGGTTATCAGACAGTCCCATGTCACCATGTGCCACTAGAAGGACGTCAACAGCAGCAGCACCATAATGATGAATGAACTGACTGGGATGAGGCTGACTACGCAGAGGTCTTTGGCCTCACTGTCATCAGCTGACCTCTGACCCCTCATGGATTAAAAATGGCACTTTGGCTGAGACGGGGAGGGAAGCGCGACGTCTTACACTCCAGGAATTCTGGGACTTTAACAAACGTGGTTGTTTGAAACAGGATTGCACAGACTGGACAAACCTGGTGTCTCCTTTTTTATTTCAATGGGAGTAACATGTTTCAGTGAAGATGGAATAAGTTCTGTGTGGGAGATGTTGATAAAGAAACTGATCACAAAATAGAAATTGGGTCAAGGATGGAGCAGGATTTTACACAGTAGGCTCTCTCATTTCTCTCATAAATTGTGGATAACGAACATTTGTATGCACTAGCCTGGACTAACATTAGCCAGTGTTGGTGAAGATACCAAACTTTGACACCCAATATTCGCCTGTAACTGTACTCTTTTCCATTCCTTATTGTTGTGAATGGACGTCTGACTCTCCGAAAGCTTCCCTTCAGCTTTAAACTGTAACTCTGACTCCTGGTTAGTATCTCGCTGTAGCTTTGCTAAAAAAAGACTCCAAACATGGCTGCCACAGGAAGGAAGCACTTGGTGAGGGACTTTAACCATTTCATCACCTGCTACCTGTGTCGAGGTTACCTGATAAAACCGACCACGGTCACCGAGTGCCTGCACACCTGTGAGTGAAACAACAGACACGTTTTCTTTGTGACACTACACATTTCAATAAGTGGAAATCAATGGCAGAAGATCAAGACAGTTTGACATCATGTGGTTTGTTTGGAATTGTCCCACAGTGCATTGTGTGAACACATTATTAGCTTGTTACCTAGCAAGCTAACCCACCTGCAAGCAAGCTTGTGAGTGAGCAAACTATCTATAAGTTAGCTAACCTGCTAATGAGTGAGATATTAAGCTAACTAGCATGTGGTTGTCAAGTGCTAAACGCAGGTTTCTTTCTTTTATTTCTTTGGAATCCTTAAACAAGATGACGTCAAACTTTCTTGACAAAGAGTAGCCATTAGAAATACCAATTTAACCTCAATAAATTATGTTTATGTTGTTTCTTCTGCAGTCTGTAAGGGCTGTATAGTGCAGCACTTTGAGGACAGTAATGACTGTCCTAAATGTGGCATTCAGGTCCATGAGACCAACCCTCTGGAGATGCTCAGGTAAGATGTCATTTTTTCTTACCTCTCTTATTTGAATGAGCTTATTTCCTCTTTTTTTGATTGGTAGTTTCTCACCCTTCACTTTCTTTATCCTTCTTTAATGCTCTTTCTCTTCATCTTAAAAAGAGATTCTGTGGCTTTTAAAAATGGGGTTTTCAACACTTATAGTACAAATTTAATTCCATTCATCTCCATTTGATTAGTGGCCCCCCTGGTCCACCTGCTATGTTCTGGTCTTTCTACTTTTTGATCATCTCATCCTTCCCTTATTACCTTATCTCAGTCTTCTTATCCTTCTGTTTGTCTCTTTATCTTATTTGCTTCCTATTCTTTATTCGTGTTTCATTCTGATTTGTCACCTGCTTTGTCTTATACCACAACTACTCATCTGTTGCACCAACTCATTCTCCTCTCTATTATATCTTCCTTTTTTCTCTAATCTTGTATTCCTTCTTGACTTCTTCTCTTTGCTTTCCGCCCACCTGATCCTTCTCTCCTCTACCTCCGCTACTGCTCCCCCTCTTAAAATCCTGTCACTTTAAATCATCACGCAACTTCCTCTTCACCTCCTCGTCATCATGTTCTCCCTCCACCTCCTTCTCAAACTCTTCTCTCTCCATATTCTCAGGTTGGACAACACCCTGGAGGAGATCATTTTCAAGCTGGTGCCTGGACTCAGAGAACGTGAGCTTGCCAGATGGTTTCATCAATCTGTCTTCTCAGTTTGCAGTCCATGTTTAATGATATGACTATTCATGGGGGGGGAGGACATCTTTTTTTTGTAAACAACAGCACTTTGAACACCGTTTTTTATAAAGGCACATATTATTATATACTGTACTTACATACTGTGCTAAGCAACATCCGGATTAACATTACAGTAACCCACATGAACACATGCCTGTTCTCATTTTAGAAGCTAGTAATTAATCAGACCCAATGGCCTCAAATGGTACTGGGTTCAAACCTGCATGGCCGAAAAGCATGTTGAAGTGCTTTTGAGCAAAACGGAATCCCTACAAGCTCCTGGGCACTGCTCTGCAGCTTTGATCCAAGAAGCCAAGTCAAAATGTCGAACTAAATCTGTGATGGTGCTGTAATTTTATGACTCCATAACTTCGCCTCCGGTGACGGAGCGCTCTGGCAGCCAATTGATGGAACAAACGTATTGTATTTTAGTGGCGCTCGTGTTGCTCGGCCAAGTGGTGTAAAAATCGGTATCGTATGAATTCTGTTTCATGCTTTTTGAAGAGTAGACTGTTGGTTTTTTTCTGTACCTGACACATGTCATGTCCATGCAGAGGATTTCTTTGCACTATTCATTAAAATCAAGCTAGCCCGCGGCTAGCTTTACCTCATTTGGCATTAATACAATTTCTCTTTTCATTGTTCATTAGAGGCTAGAACATACTTCATACAGAGTGTGAAATAAAAGTAATTGAATTCACAGAAATGCCACAGGAGACAGAAACAACAACAAAACTGATTGTCTAGGTTGCACTATAGTTCTAAATGTTTCTGTTATAAAAAAGATATTAGGCATACGCTTCCGGCTACCGTGACAGTGCTTTATGATTTGTATTTCCAAATGAGTGAAGGTAGCTCATATAAGACAACAAATTCCACTGTAGATGAATCAGTTATGGCAAGGCAGCCCATTGTCTGGACAGAATGCATACTGTAGGCTATTTTACAAGCTTGCATTAGTCTTTATAATGGGGTCTCTCACTGTAATTTAGAACTGTATGCAAAGGAGCTTGTATGCATTGATAGTTAGGATGAACCTTCCCAAATTCTTCCATTACACCCCGAAGAACTTGAATTGAACGCTAAGCTCAATCAAGAACAATTGATTTCTTCAAACACAAATACTTTAAACACATGGTCTCTATCTGGACAGGATCTCAATCAGTGCACTAGCTTATGCATTATCAGAATCACCTGTCCTTCTTTATAGAAATACTGTCTGTCCGAATTCTCCATGCTGCTTTTTAACACTGTCTTTTTACCTGTTGTTCTGTGTTATCTGTTTATGTGAACCAGAAGAGGAACAGCAGGAAGTGGAATTCTGGAAGAAGAACCAACCCAGAGAAAATGGCCAAGGTAAGCTGTCTGTCACATTTAAACTGAATATAATTGAACCGTATGATTTTAATAGATTAATATACAGTTGCTATTTTTCTGGCTGTTAGTACCAGGAGAAACCCTGGGATGAGTAGCAATGTCAGATATTGTGTATGTAAATCATGTTACAGTTTTTTGTCTTCTTCCTCTCATTGATAGAGTAGGCAGAAGTAAAATAAATAGATGAGGGAAGTTTTGATTTATCAAAATGTGGGACATCAGGGAATTTCCTGCTCATATGCATCATACACCCCCCACACGCGTTGTAGAGGGCAAATATTGTCATTTATCAACTTTTAATCATATCATTATGATGACATTTTGATACTCAATTTTTCCTATTCAAAGAAAGATTTGAGTGGCTCACATCTCACTTATTAGCACTCTAACATTTGTGTGTGTGTGTGTGTGTGTGTGTGTGTGTGTGTGTGTGTGTGTGTGCTTGTCTCATACCATAGCAGAAACTGTGAGGTGTCAGCGGATTGGACTGCCTGATGTTGGAGACAATTATGGTGGCGGTGGAGGTGGTGATGATGATGACGATGGCGGCGATGAAGATTACCACAGGAGTGACCCTCAGATAGCCATCTGTCTGGACTGCCTACGCAACACGGGACAGTCGGAGGAGAGCACTGTCACGGTGTGTGTGTGTGTGTGTGTGTGTGTGTGTGTGTTTTATTGATTATATGTGCAACTTTTTCATCGAGAAGTGTTTTGATAATCAATAAGCCTTAAAAACAGCTTGGTTTGTAAATGCCTCCAAGCTTCTTAGACAGTTAGTAACTAATCTCTTGTAAAGGTTTGAATGTGTTTTGGGGACTTTAGTTACCTCTCTCATTAGACTGGAGTGTAATGGAATTTGTCTCTCGTCCGTTTAGGATTTGATGAAGAGGTTCATCCGCTGCTCCAGTAGAGTCACAGTGGGAACAATTAAGAAGTTTCTCAGTCTTAAACTGAAGCTGCCTAGCTCTTATGAGGTAAGGAACAGATTCATTGAACATTTAAATTAAGGTCCGCACACTGCAGCTCCCTTAACAGTTATGTTATGTTATACGATGCAGACATTTTATTTTTCAAACACTATGACTTTATGATTGAACTGGTCTCATTTAGCCTAAAGTTTATTGCCAATTATTTTCAATCATGGCTAACTGGCTAGGTGACTTGACCACCAGCAACATTACCTAAACTGTGTGTTTATAGCAAAGTAAAGAACATTTATCTGAGCAAATATTGTCAAATGCTTTATTATTAGCCAGTGCAATGGTTTTGATAGCTACAGACTCAAAAACCCCAAAAGTGATCAAGCTGCCACATAGAACTATGAAACAGCCAATCCAATAAGTATACGTGTCAATTAAAAGATAACACAAAAATACAATGAAAGTAAAATAACCAACAAATGTCCCACTTTAAGAAAATAAACAAAACATCCAAAGAATGAAACTTGAACCACTCTTAAAGAAATCAGTCAGCTTGGATTCAAAACTGACGGCTTCCACGTTTGCTTTAGACTGAGCTTGTACTGAATCTCAAACAGTCTTTCACACATTCAGTGCAGCCTCCCACGCATTACCGCAGTCAACTTCCCCTCTTCTTTCATTTTGTGCATCAGGGTTACGATTTTTTTTAAACTTTCATTTCCTTTGTCAATTTACATGTCATATCACCCTTTGAGGTTTTGGCACCGCATTGTCATTTTGATCCTTTTATTAAACTAAATTGATTCTTTAATCTTTTTCTTTAATTTTGTTTTCTAAAAATAATTAAATGTAACTTATTTCTAATCTTTTTTTTTTTTTTCTTGTGCTGTGTCCAGCTGGATGTGCTGTGTAACGGAGAGATCATGGGAAGAGATCACACTCTGGAGTTCATCTACATGACCCGATGGAGGCTGCATGGAGAGAATGTAAGGCTGTCACCCTCACTTCCTGTTTGTGTGTGCGTGTTTGCATGCTCATGTGTAGATGCACTGGAGCAGGAAAGTACTGGTTAAATGACTTCTCTTTTCTAAATCATTTTTGCAGGAAGAACGTTTTTATTCAAATAATCTGTCATTACTGTCATCACTCCGACTGAATTCTGACTCCAAGCTAAAGAAAGGAGACTTTTCTTAACATTGTTTTGTTGGTGTTGTTTTGTTCTAAGTAAGAAACCAATCACATTTTAAAGATGTCGCTAAAACTCTCCTTCAAGATTCTTGAAAGAAAGTTATGCTTCCTTTAATGATCAATGTCTTAGACATGTACACTGAATATTCCTTTCACTTATTCAAAGCCTTGATTCTGTCCTTCTGACTACACACTATATACTCAAGTGCCACAGGCTTCCATTCTGTTTGCTTTCTTCACCACTCTGAACACTGTCAACTCAGAGGGTCAAATTGAATACTGAAGTAAATTCTAGTTGACTGCACTTTGGTTTGACTCCCACATTACCTTAAGTTAAAATCAGTATGCGCTTTCTATTCAATCCAGTGGTACACAATATCCATCATCATAAAGGCTTCTTTGAATATCATCAGGAATTAATGACCTTTCCTGATTATAGACGTTAATATTGATAGATTGACTAGATATGAACAGATTCATAGTAGTAAGAGTCAAGGAAATGCTTTGCGGATGAGGACTCCTGAGTGCTGGAGATGGAGTCACACACTTGGATGTATGGTAGTGTTCTTCAGGGAATGAAAGTTGAACAACATACACAGACAGACACAAAAAACACATGCTTGCACTAACACTTGTGTGAACCTTAACGTTCACCATCAAAACAGACAAATTCTTGCTCAAGAAACGTCTTCTGTCTAAAATGTTAATTGGTCCTCACAAAGATAGAAGCACTAGAACACACACACACACACACACCTACACAGCACCAGGAGGAGTTGTCCTGTTCTCACACTTTTGGGTCCGCTCTGGTTCAGAAAAACGCCTGATGGTTTTATATAGAATGGCAGATGCCGTGGAGAAATCACATTCACTCGAGGTGAAGGCTCTGAATTTGAATGTATTTGAAGCACTGAATTTGAATATGTGAAGATGGCTTGTTCAAAGTGAAACAGATTGTGAAGGTTTTTCATCATCGAGCTTCTTTGTAAGCACAATCTTTCCTTAGCAGTGTTTCCTCCGCCCCCACTTTGCCCACAACAACAGACAGAAATCAGCCCGTCAGAATTATTTATGTCCCTCCTGGTGAGTCAGAAGGATAAACACCAAGAACTCCTGTCCGGTTAAGGATGAGGTAAGGAGAGGAGTGACGGAGAGGGTGAGAGAGACAGATTCGAAGCATGAAAGTCAGGAATGGAGACAGAAGAGGGAGAGAAAGAAGACCCGAGTCATTCATCAGTCTCATCCTACTGACAACTACGCAGCTTGACTTGATTTTCTCCCTCTGACACTGAGACACACAGAGGCCGGTCAGGATGGCTGCACTCACATGGGAACGAGGAAAATTCATCTTTTACCACTCAGCGTCTCGGGATGTCATTTAGCCAGAACAGGACACTACCTTCTGATTGCCTTGATGGTGATGAGAAGAAAAAAAACATGCACACTCGCTCAAAATGTATCTGGGAAGTACTGTTGTCTGTGCTGACTGGGTAATGAACACATCCTGATGCCTGTTATTGCTGACTGGCAGTTAATTATATCGTTGAGCAGTTTGTTTTCTGTTTAAATGAACTGTCATGTGTTCCAGAAATATTAGATTAGATAACTAAATTGTCACTAATTTAAATTGCATCAGCAAGACGTTCTACCATTGAATACTTTGTCCTGGCAACCCTAAAGCAAATCTGTTTTGGGTCAAATGTAATTGCTATCTGGTCTAAAGGTCTTCCCCCTAGGACTCAAGACCGGACCCGAGAGCTGACATAACGAGTGGAACAGCAAAGTTTGACTTCACAGTATAAAATTAGCCTTTTCATCCGGTGGTCTTCTGCATCCATGGTCCCATATGAGCTTTATCGTTTCCTTTAACCCCGCCTCGGTCTAGCCTCGTTCTCAGGCTCATTCACATGAATAGAGGAAAGAATCCAATGATACACATCAGAGCTATTCACGTGTTCATACTGGGAATCCAGAAGTACGAACACTTCCACAAATAAAGGCATCAACCAATCACGTTGTGCGAAGAGGGTTGAGTTCTTTTTGAAACAACATCACGGAGGTGCCGTAGTCCAAACCAAGTTGGTGTTTGTTATTACTCCTTTAAAACTTTTGACCTTGACAAAAGGCAGCACAGACCATATTCCACTCCTGTTCTTAACTTTCACAACAAAAGCCCTCGATATGTAATATTCACAGGCGAGAATTAAAATTTTCGTGTGTCTAAACAACATACTAAATGCCTAAATGTTAGATGGCCGTGTTGGATAGACAGAGCCGTCCCAGATAGTCCCTCTCTGTGTACTCTGTTCAGATGAAGGTCAAACCCCTCTCAGGTCAGATTAGAAAGAGCACACTCATTGTTTTCAACCTCAAACGGTATTTCTGAGATCAGACACAGTCACTTATTGCAGCTGTGGCAGTCGTTCCATCCCTCCTTATTGAGAAGCAGTGGACTCACCTCGTTAGCACAAATCAGTTTCAGGTGTTGGCACCGTTTGTTCAGAAGCAGGAAGGTTTTCTGTCTGGATGATGGATGATGGAGCATAACTTACAAATGAAACACAAAACTCTTTCTTAAACACCTTCAAGCAAATGGTCCCGCCAGAGAATGCTGAACCTCTTCACCACCTCAAACACAGCACACTCTCAAGATGTGGAGTTTAAAATACGGCTTCTTTTTATCGGAAAAAATCCCACTGAGACATAAAACCACATATGTGTTTAATTTCAAGAGGACATCATTTGTTAAAGTACAGTTTAGTTGCCACTAAAACAATTCTTCTCATATCAGATATCCTAATCGGAAATCTAAATCTATGAATTGTTTTTTACAGATTATCATGCTTTTTCTCTACTAAAAGTATTCCAACTTAAACAACAAAATACCTGTATTTTTCCTTGGGACAAGAGTTATAATTCACATGCATATTAGAGGTCTTTGTCATTAAAACTTAATTTGATGTTTTGTATCTTGAGGCATTTGAAATGAAATGACTGATACCGTTGTTTTTGTTTTGTTTTCCTACAGACACTTTGTAGAATCACTTTATTATCTCAACAATAAAAAGATCAACACTTGTGGCCAGGGTGGCCAGCATTTCATTGAATCAAAATGTAATGTCTGATTCACATATTTATTTTAAATTATTTCAAATCCTTTATTGAATCAATCTATTTGTTGCCGTAAAAAGCAGTTATCAATATGCAGTAATGTGTGCAGAAAGTTGGATGAGCATTCGTCCCAGTCCTGAAATGGGTATCGGGCTTTGTCGTCATAAATCTACTCAGCCCTCTGACAAGTGGCATCATTCCCTAACCGTTGAGTAATGTACCTTTAAGCAGCCTTACATTCCTACACTCACCCAAGCAAAGATACTTTGCCCTTAAACCTACATCGTATCTACTCGGGTTAAACCATCTCGACAGGCAACCCCACTGGAATGAGAACCTTCTCATGAATCATGTCCCTCGTCCTTGATAAATAATATCAGTTTTACATCAACAAGGTGAATCACTGCTTTATCTGACAGCAGGTCCACGTTGAAGCTACAGAAGTGTGTACTCTTCAGAACTCTAAAGGATGATTCCTAATGATGTTGTTGACCCCCTTTTTTGTAGCATTGACCCTGACACTTTGTTTTATGACAGAAGAGTACAAAGACTGAGATGTTGTGAATAGTCAGGGTCCCCGGTGGAAGAACCTTTTACATTTTGTACATTTAATGAGCTTAAGTGTGACTCCAGAGGGGACAAATTAAAGTAGAATATATTTGCATTACGTCTAATCACCACATATTCCTGTAGGAAATAGACGATGGAAAAGTACGTTAATTGTGTAATATTTGACAGCAGATCTAGTTTTCAGTATTTTCACCGAACTGGAGATTTGATGGTGCTGCAGGTTGGAAGGTTCTACAGTCGTCAATTTGACACTACAACAAAATCCCTTAAAAGTAGCTGACAGCTGAAGAGAAAATCTGTTACCGCCGTATAATTCAAGTGTTTGGAGAGCAAAATGCTGAGTGAAAGAGTGTCAGAGATGCAGATACAAAGGCACAGCGAGAGTCTGCTTAGGTTGAATTCAGTGTTGTTCTTTATTTCCGAGGCATGATGCAGCAAAATGCAGAAAGCCAGAGGAGATGACAGCAGCTGTACTCTGCTGCACCAGCAGCCTCGATCAGCCTGAAATAGTAGACAGGCTCCAGAAACAGGAGACCAAGTCTTCACTTTGCAGCTGCTTTCACAAACATCCACTTTTTGAATTTTTTATGAAAAGGGTAGCTCACATCTTTTTGACTCTTTCAAATGTGCTTTGCAACCAAAGGAGGCACGATGTACAAGTTGTCCTCATTGACATTTCTATTAGTTATCCAGAATGATGGATGAATTACTGAAAGAGCCACAGGGACCTGCAGGGTCAAGGCTCATCTATGTATCAAGAGAGTTAACTTTTGAAAAACCAAAGGTACAATCTATACTTTCACCATGAGAAAGCTACATGACAGATATTGACATGAATATCAAGAAGTGTTTGTTTGGCCTGCTGTACTCTGTATTTGACGTTGTGCAATACAGGCTCCCAGACGCCGCTGCAAGAATTCACATGTTGCAACCGTGATCAAAGTTGCAGAGATTGCTATTTGTTGACATGTTTGCACTCATTACACTTATTACATTGTGGTAGGGCAGTGTTGTTACGTGACTCTGTGTCTTTGTGCTGGTAAGAAGTTTTAAAAAAGGAAACATTTGACAAACTTGGACAGCCAATGAGGGATCTGGTAAATCCTACCAGTACTCCAATATGTTCATCGCTGTTTGTCATAACTTCTCTCTCCCCGTCACCTGACTGTCTCCTAAGTTTTTAACAATCCAAAACACAAAGACATGTTTTCTATCCAAGAGGAACATACAGTCAATCATAACGCAACAAATTTCAAAATATTAACAGTTGATGGCATTGCAAAGTAGGAAGTCTGTTATTGTGTTCGTGTTCTACCCCTCCCCCTTTGGGAGGGGGTATTTTCTTCTAACCAATCAATGGCAAGAGACGTATCCGTCTGACTAACATCATTTGGAACAGTTTATAGTTTTCATGTTGATGAAATGTGTCAATTAAAATGTGTTTTGTCCTTTAAGCTGAATAATAATAACCTGGACAGCTGCATTGATCTCATCCAAGCTGGTCACAGTCTGTCACTGAGCACAACACCAGACCCATTTAAATCACTTCAGAAATCTGAGACTGTTTATTGTTATGAAAGCACTAACGTACAAACACATGGTTAGACTGTTCCATTTTTCAATGCACCAAATATACACGCATAGGCTTTCTATTTTTGTCTGGAATCAAAAGCTAAACCTAAATACTTTGTGATAAGCAGGCTTGCTTCTGGATTCAGATTTGGGAGAAAGAAATGCTCCATTAAAGCTAATAGAAAGAGTGGCTTGTTACACAGCCCTCTGTATTCCACAGATATCGAATGATAAACTTTTCAATTGAGCTTAAGCAGAGCGAGCAGCAGCCTTTATTACTTCTTTTTTTCATATATGGCTCTTCTGAATCAGACACTTGGCTTCTATCCTCGCAGAGCAGAGCAGAGCCAGGTCGATCCTGGGCACTTTAATGGAAACGGGTTCACACTCTTCTTTGGCTCTGAATTCATGAAAACCTGCAGTTTGACGTCAGATGGAATAGGAGTCGCCCGGTCTGTCTTTCGCTCTGTCAGTCTGAGTTCTTATGGCTGCAAATCTAACTACTGGAGATTTGTGAGAGTGTGTGTGTGTCTGTGTTTCAGCATGTCATGTGGAATTGGGTTGAAAATACAGGTTGTTGATGTAACAACTGTTCTTGCACCTTTTTAAAAAAAATTCCAAAAGCCTGTTTAATAAACGATAACCTGCGCACAGAATGTTCTAGCTTTAGTGATTCAGTATCTAATTACTGGCCTCAGTGTTCCAGCAGCCGTGTGGTGAACGTTTACGGTTTGAAGACCAAAAAAGACAGATTGTCTCCTCTGAAACACGTTTTTCTGTCTCTCCCTCAGACATATCCCATGGTTCTTGAGTACCGCCCACGAATCGACTTTGGCTGAACCACAGCTGCAAGAAGAGGACCACACACACACACACCACAGACATACACACACAGACATATGCAGACGTACATAACAAGTGTAGAAAACATGAGGAGCACCTACATTTGCACATGGACAAACACAATTACAAACATGCCCACAATGTGCAGAGAAAGAGAGATTTAAATGTACAGGTATTTTTGTACAGCCAATGATGAAGTGCATACGTTGTCATGGTAAAGAGGTTTTATGCTACATAGAATAATATATGCTATTATATATGATATTTTTAAATGTTTGTCCCTGTGCCTAAAAACCTGTTGAGATCAAATGAAGTTTGACCATATCTTCACTTTGCCTGTCTAACTCTGTAGATTAAATGTTGATTTTCTACTGTTTGATGGTTGTTCTTATGTCTGCCTCTGCAGTTGGATTTTGTCGCGGTCACTCTCACTATCTGAAGGTGTGGCTAATAGAACTAACAGTCAGCCTAAAACTTGTACGGTTTATCTGAGTCTGAGACATCATATCTATCCGAGATCTTCGCTGAGAGACCCCCTCCAAAGAAAATCAAGTTTTTAACCTTGTTGATATGTCCATATGGTGTTTTTTTATATACACATTATGAGGACAATAAGCAGTCAACCCCATGGCTGTGCATTTCTGCCCTGCAGTGTACCAATAAGTCAGACAGTCATAGACCTAAGAAACCAATCCAGTCAACTTGCGGCTGGGGCTTTCTCTATCATAGCGTATGCTAGTATGAAATGAGGGTCAGAGGGGAAGCCAGGTGTAGGAATAGGTATTTTGTAATACCTGTTCCGTATATCATTTCAAAACAATGGCAGATGTGAGCACACTGGAACGTCATAGCAGATAGTGTATGTTTCACAACCACCACTGCCAATTAAAAGCTAAAAACGGACAATAACGAATAAAAGATGCTAACTACACTTACCTTTCTAATATGTCGGCTAGTCTCTGAGTCAAACATGTAAGGCTACATCTCTACGATGTTTCCTCTAGCAGAGAAAATATTCAAGAGGCCAAAACATGTCGCTCCAAGTCTTTTCCTCTGAGTATTTTCAGAGTTTTTTTTGTACTTTTAAAGTGTACTTTTAAATCCCTTAATCAAAGCAGGGTTTTCCATGATTGAAAACATGTCTGGCTGAAGGCTTTAAGAAGAAGTAAGTACAAATGAAATGTGTACTTATAGTTTTACTCAATTTTCACCCTCTTGACAGATGATGTAACACTTGTCATGGACTGCACAATACATGAACTTATTCATTAAGTTACAAACAGCATCTCTTTCCATTGAAAAGGCCAAAATCATTCCCATCCCTATTTTCAGCCGTCACTGCTCTCACTGCTCATTTTGTTTTTTGGTGACTCAAAGCTGAGGGAGTCATGAGGGCAATGACAGGGAAACTGAGTGCTGCTCTGCCACTTGCAGAGCGGTGACTGACAATGATTATCAGCAATTACATGCAACCATTTATCGATTAAGGTCATTTTTTTTAAAGGGACAGTAAAATATTAGTTTTTACCGTGGAATAAATGCACACACACATACAACATGTTTTAAGTGGGCAGGGTTAGACAGAGAGTATATCACTAAACCATGTCACAATGTGAAAAATGTTGGTGTCTGAATTTCCAAATGAAGAGAATAGCAGGAAGGAATCTAAGTGCACGCACACACATACGCACACACAAATACACTTCAAGACGACCTATACACTACAGTAGATCATAGCATCTGTACTGACACTTACAATTGTGGGAATGCAGACTCACACGCATGCATACTGTACACACCTTCACAGGCTCATGTCTACGCTTTCCTCAAACACACACACACTTGTCCTTCCAGCTGTTGGTCTTGCCCTTGCAGTTGGTTTTTCATGTCAGTTATGTCGGCCACAGGTCCCCGTGGTTCTTAACAGGACTCGGTGACCCTCAACATTGTAAAACCCACTGGGGCTATGTGAAAGGTGAATGGAAGGCAAAAGTAGACAAATCTTGATCGATATAAGAAGTTACCAGCTCACCTTCTGAAACACTTAAGCCACACTGACCCACCAGTGGGTTTCCATTGCACACTACACGAGAATGACTCAAACAATGAAATGCAACAAATTACTGGGTCTCACGTCAAAAGTCAAAACAGAATTTGTGGTTCAAATTATGAGTACGGAATGACTCAAACTGCTTTGAATTTCCTTTAACTTCTGTCTGCTTTGTGTAAATCAAGTTCTACATTTCCCAGAATGCAATTCATCAACCTTCTGCAGGGGTCTGAACTTCTCTCTCTCTGCTGTGTGTAATGAGCTTTATCAATACTGAAAGTAACAACAACAAAGCAATAGTGTTTCCATCTGTGAAGAAGTGAAAGAGAGAGTTCCTGTCTCTGTACTCAGAACACAACCTGCCCCTCTGGTTCAGTGAAGCTGCTGTCTGAAGGCAGATGAGTTCCACTTCTTCTTTGATTCATTACGGGTGCTCAAACTTAAATCAAACAAAGGATTGGGTGAAAAACTGAAACGGACTCTTTGTATTGATGACGTGGCAACAACAACAACAGGGTCTGTCACCATTTCCTAACAAAGCACAGACAAACCAGACTAAAAAAAGGGCAACGAATTAAAAGATAAATGGAAGCACACGCGATTACTCAGTCATAAGCCAAACTGTAGTTCAACATCAACACAACACAAATAACACATCCATGAATAAATGCATTGATTAACTTAACTCAAGGGTGGTTCACAAGCTTTTTCCAGAGCTTTTAACCAGATCTCATGGTCTGACTCAATCAACTAATGAAGATTGTGAAAACTAGTAAGTAGACCCTGAGTTAAGATATATCTAATTTCACATCATCCATATTCTATCTGTTTTAAATTACATACAACAATACTTTTTATTTGTTTGTGTTGCTATAATAGAATCATGTATAAATGTTGAAGTAGCAGGTTAAAGCATTACTCTACAGTGGTAAATTCAAGCCATTCATTCAATATAATTAAATTATCAGAGCACAAAAAAGCAACCATAGAAAAGGACGCCACAGTAGTTATTTTCTTTCATACAATTAGGAGGCGACAGAAGATAATGCAAATTTCTTCAATCAAGACCAATCTATTATTTCTAAATTAAAAAAACAATATGTGAACAACAGTCATCTCTGAACAACAACAACCTCATCGATCCGTTCTGATAAAGTAATACTTCAGACTGACTTCAGTCCAGTTTCTTAAAGACATCCTTTCTCACATCACACTGGAGGCTGAAGCGGAGTCCTTCAGCTCTGGACTCCTGCCAGTCTGTCGGACAGAGAGAAACAATGCAGTGGTATCAGTGGCATTGAAGGCAAGCAGCAACTGGCATGAGGTACGACTTTGTTTCATCCCTGCAGCTCAGGTGGACCGACAACAGCAGCAGTCACCGCTGAGCTTCAACCTTGGATCCAGCCATGTCCTTCGTTTATGAATATATTATCCTCAGTTGTGATTCTACTGTAGGTGTAAAGCTGAATAACATATTTCTCAGTGAGATTTAAAGTTCATTCTTGACCTTGGATACACTCCTTAGTATAATCTGTAAGAGAGTTTTGACAAAGATGAAAATGTGCACACAGAATCATGAGTTATTTGTAAGAGTATTGATTTTATAACAAGTTCAGGAAGCAGATGTGTTAGCTTGCTAGCATTGGTGCTAGCATTGGAAGTACAAGAGAGTGCATGGCTTAACTAGCAAAGTTGATGCAAAGGCAAAGATCAAAGGCAAAGGTCCAAAGATCGTGAATGCAACCTAAACACTGGTGACTCTCAACCGGATGCGTCCGCTGTTGTAGCTGTCCTTGTAAGAGCCTCTAATCAATTTAAAATACATACTCATCAGTGTTTATTTTCCACACCAACCATTTAGGTAAACTACTAAGAGCAACCACAGACACATTCGGCTGAAAGTCACCAGTTAACACAGTAACTCGTTAAACTGAAACACCTGCTGCTCTGACGCGATCGTGATCATGCTGTTGGAATATTGATTCTGACGACTGAACATGCAAAAACCAGATATTTTGATGCTGTTCACAGTTTTAACTCAATGTTTAATGCTTGCTAACTTGTCTGGTTGGCTTGGGTGAGAACGCCACTTCAGCTGCCAACATGTACACGCATGTCTTTGATGACGTACACTGTAAAAGGGTCTATTGGTCAACAGTTCATATTTAAGGGTCACCAAAGTTGAGCTCAACTTCGCCATCCCGAGCAAATCCACTAATCACTGCAATCCCATTGGAATACTTAAAGTCGGCAACAAAATTCTGACGTGGCCTTAAACCAGTATGTTTCAATGCACCTGATTTTAAGCACATTTCTATTTGCCGCATTAGAAAACCTGAGTGGAATTGTCGGGAACTTGCCACATTCTGATATCAGAGGAAGTATGTGTCATGGTTGCAGCTTCATGACGCTAATTCACCCTGAGACCATCCCACCACTGGGTATCAACACTCGACACAGATATCAATGTGTCAAAGGTTGGGCCAAGAGCAGATGGCACGGGATGTCCTGTAGCCAGAGCGGAGCTGACACTGAGTCTGCTTAGAGAAACAGCAGCCAGCAGAATCCTGCTGAGAGGGCCTACATGTGTGACACTGAGGCATCACGAGTGCATGTTCACACTGTGTTTGTTGGATCGAGTGCCCTTGTGTTGATTATTCAGTCCACAGACTACCCGACTCTAACTCAATCTTTTAGTGGCCTCTTGTTTTAACAGTCATGGTAGCGGTAACAGGCGACAAAGCAGCAGCAGTGTGTATTCTCGGGCTGGGCGTGCTGATCCCTAAGTGGGAGTGTTACTTCTGCAGTAGCACTTGTGACAGACAACTGATATCACCAAAGGTCATAAATATTTATCTGCTTGTATTTCAAGTCATTTCTATTGTGAATCAATATGAATGAATGATGAAATGAATAGAATATGATGACTGTATCCTACTGGTGGGATGAGGTATGAGCTATTTATAACATGAACAAGTGTGTGTGTGTGTGTGTGTGTGTGTGTGTGTGTGTAGGGGGGGGGGGGGGGTTTGTACTTCTGTCTATTTAAGGACCAATTTGTCTTTTAAAAAGGTGAGGACATTTTTGGAAAGTGAAGACATCTTTAGGCGTGGTGTGAGGATTAACTTTGGACATTTGTGTTTGATGTATATGAGGTCATGTGTAACTCTGTGTGACAGTGCTGCAGTATGCAAATGATGAATGTGTGTTAGCGGCTCACATTTGATTATCTGATGTCGCAACACACCTGAGGTGAAGAGTAACTAAGTACATTCCTCATCTCTCAAGTACTGTACTTAAGAGTAATTGAAGGTGCTTTTAGTTGA